AACAATGGAGGATATGGAAGCGATCCTGTACTTGTTTCTTGGTGTGTGGCTTTTTATCACAGCAAGAAGAAGGAAAGGGATCACAGTACCTCCTCGGTCGACCACGGTGTGCTTTTCTTAGAAGTAGCCATTTTTGTAGCTCCTCCGTTTACAAAATGCTGTGTATAAAAATGCTGCAAGCTTGCTTCTAGATACATATGCGCCGCTAGGGATGAACTCGCGCGCAATCTTGTGACGATTCTCTCTGACCAATCAGCAGTCGAGAGTGTTGACGTCACTAGTTCAGCCCTGGCCCTGGTCTGAGGGAACCACGATTTTATGAGGCCGGAAAAAGAGGGAAAAAGTACCCGCTGGCCGGTACTAGGCTATATGGAAACGCCACCAAAAACCGGCCTGGCCGCTTGAGGACGGTTAAGGACGCTTAAACGGGGCTACCCGCTGCAGTGGAAACGCGCCATAAAGGACTGGTTCGAGCTGTCAAAGTTAAAACACAGACCAGTGTGCTGGAGAGGCCAATCACCAAGATCTGTCTGCTGTTAGAATGTGAAGAGTGACGGCAGCAAAGAGTCTTCTTCCGCTGATGGCACGATGATATCATGTAGTCAGGATGAGTAACACCACACAACTCATATTAGGCCGCAAGGTGAACCTCTAAAAGTCCTTTAGAAAAGAAATCCCGCTCCACAGAAGTGGAACTACATAATCTTTAGTTCATAAAAAAGAACGAGTCATGCTTATCCACCAAAGAAAAGTTTGTCGCTAAAATTCCTGTCAATTCTTCTAGGCACGTAATTATTGGCTGAACTAGTCCCTTCAAAGCGTAATAATAATATCTTGGTCAAAAGTAGTGCCACGGTTTGTCACGTGATCGTGCTACACCAATTGGGTAGCTGCATATTGTCAACAGAAGTGAAAGATGGCCGCCTACATGGTTACGCTAAACCAGACCAAATGGATTCTAAACAGTGCTGTATGCTTGTTCTATGTCATGTTTTGTCATATGTCTTAATACATCACTAAGTCCGAGGTATTTGCGTTATATACGCGGTATTTGTGAGAGGTTTTACTATCTGGGAACAGAGTTGACCATCGAATCAACATTGGCTAGCAGCGTTTATCAGCCAACTCCAGCTACAACAACATTCCTGGACTACCATGTTCGCATCGCTAGGTTCATTGGCTGAGCTCGTGGATTATTCCATTAGACTGAGGACTTTTTGTTTGTCTGTCTGTTGTTATTGTTACCCTGTACACGTTAAATGCACTCTTACAATAAACATGACTTGATTTCATACATAGCTGCGTCCAAGAAGGTTAACTTGTTACGTTGACCATTGATTCATTTATTTACTCATTCATCATATAATAATTTGATGAATTGCATTATTATTATTATAGATTATTATTATAGATATATATAGATTATTATTATAGATATATATGGATTATTATTATAGATATATATAGATTATTATTATAGATATATATATATTATTATTATAGATATATATATATATATATATATATATATTATATTATTATTATTGTAATATAATATTGTATTTGTAACTTCAAAATCAATGCCACCGTTGTAAGCTTGTCCTGTACGTATTCCATCTTGTATTGGTAAAATAATCAACCTTTTCGTGCTTCACAGACGTAATATACTAATACGTAATACAATAATTTTGACTTTTTGAGACTTTCTGGTGCGTTTTCCTCGTCCCCGCTACTCGATGAAACCATGGCGGTCGCCATTTTTTCCAAATCTGTTTGTTGATACCGGTATATGCATCTACCCAATTGGTGTAGCACGATCACGTGACGGACCGTGGCACTACCTTTGACCAAGATATTATTACGCTTTGAAGGGACTAGTTCAGCCAATAATTACGTGCCTCGAAGAATTGACAGGAATTTTAGCGACGAACTTTTTTTTGGTGGATAAGCATGACTCGTTCTTTTTTATGAACTAAAGATTGTGTAGTTCCACTTCTGTGGAGCGGGATGAAACGATAACAGGGTTCACCTTATGGCCTATATTGATAGATGACTGGATTCATGAAATGAATAGAAGTCCTGACTGTATAGGCTCCTTTTTTTTTGTATATTTGATAATTGTTTTTGTGGTACTCCAAAATACAATTAGAGGCCGGTTATGTAGGAGCCATTTCCTTAGATTATAGTATCTTATCTTTTTAGAGTATAACCTGAGATTCTGTGGTGTATATTATTTATTTATTATTTGAGTGCGTAACTCTGCAGGTCGAGATGCTGCAGCATAAAAGGAGAGGTGCTGCAGCCTACTGGTGTGGCTGACTGAAGCAAACCGTTTTTAGACCTTGCTGGTTGGGAGCGTCACAGCTTGGTTCTTCTGCCTTTAACATTGAAGTATTAGTTTATATGACAAATAGTTTGTTTAAAAACGTTTATTTATTTTCGCCTTTTTTGGAATAAACTATCTTACTTTTCAATCGCATCTGGACATTTCTATTTTTTCTCTCAAACTACAAGCGTCTACTCGTCGGTCAGCCCCACGAGTGAGCCACAAACAAAGGACAAAAAACAAATGGATATCGTGGTCACTACAAATACCATAAATAGAATGTTACCTCTCATTTATCATAAGAATTACTTTGCAAAACTTGATTAAAGCCAATCTTAAAATGATGAAACAAACGCCTGTTTGAGACTCCTCAGTGCACACAAACACATTGGAGGAATACATACGGAAATGTTATTGATCACCCCTCGATGACATGTTCTCTTGTTAAGAAATGTATTCTCATAATGATGCGATAAGCAGGACAGAATTACTTTTTTGTGTTGCTTTTCTATAAGTTAGATAGATACGAGCATGGTTTTATATAGGCTACTATCATTTTTAATCATGTTTTATGTCGTTTGCCAATACTTGATAAGTCGCTCGTAAAACACAGCAGGTATGGAATCTAAGAACACCTGTGGTAAATTGTGCAGCTAATTTAACACAACACGTGTGTTTTATTTCATTTTAACTGGTGGATATGGAGTTGCTGCGGGGAAGGGGGGGGGGGGGGGGGTTGAGACACACAGGCTGCAGTGGAGACGCTGCGCACAGCTGATCGACAGCTGGAACACAAACTACCAAATACAAATTAATAATTCAGATCCAGTCGTCATGACTCCACTCCGGAGGGATTCCCCGAAACTTTCTTACAGTGTCTCATCAAGGGGGGGGGGGGGGGGGTCTCTCCTGTCCCCGGCACAAACACACTGACACACTGCCTGAGGAAGGTTAGGTGTATTTTGTTTGTCATTCACTTTAACTTCATTTTTCGGACCACTTATTTATTTTGGTGACGATCCGACCTCCATGCTGCTACTCTGGTTCAAACTGCATCCAGCAAACAATGTGATTTGTCTCCACCTCCCCAAAAGAACCAACATCTGACTCGGTGTGAAATTTATTTTTTAACTGTTCTCGTCATTTCCTGCAATCTTCTTCATGCAGTCAGTCAAAAATGAATATTAATACGGGGCGTTTCTTTGAGTATTTATAGGCAAATATGGGCATTACGTGAAGCTCGCAAAAGCTGCGCCCCGGTACGCTGTGTTTTATGAATCGGAAAATGTCCGTGCGTATTTATTTGCTTCCTCCGTAAACCACCTTCCCACGTGAATCCTACGCAAAGCTTTATAAATGAGGCCCCAGGTCTCGTGCTTTGAATGTCTGAAGAGTTTCCCTCCATGATGGTAAAACGTATCTTGCCTCGGCCCCTCGCCCTAATGAAATCCAAACTGACCTGAGACCCTTCCATAGGTTCATTGAAAATACCATAACACCACCTTAAACCCGCGAGTCCTACCTTGAGGGAGATAACTGTGAGCGTGCAGACAAGAGAAAGGTTTTCTGAAACTGCCGGAAAACTTTTATAACTTACATTTTACCGGGCACCGGTCACGTGACAATCACGTCACGTGACAATGACGTCACATTCCCACACATATATAAGCAGCCTGTCACTTGAAGCTTCACAATCTCCATCCTCTCCAACGGTTCAGTGCAACTTTAACAGACAGAGACGGTGACATCATGATCATGCTGACTTTCCTCTTCCTGTTGGGCCTGGCTCTGGGTGCTGTGTCTTCTTCAGATGACCGTCCAATGGAGCTACAGCAAGACACCTGTCCCTCCTTCTGGTTCTCCTTCAACGGCCGCTGCTACAAGTACTTCAACACAGAGAGTACCTGGGCTGATGCAGAGCTCTACTGTGTGTCACAGGGAGGCAACCTGGTGTCTATCCACAGCACAGAGGAAGAGGATTTTGTCAAATTCCTGATCAAAATGTCTGACCCTGCTGAGGGATATACATGGATCGGACTCCATGACATCGCCAAAGAAGGAAGATGGATGTGGTCTGATGGGTGTGCAGCCAAGTATTTCTTTTGGTATAGAAGACAACCAAACAACAGCGGACGAGGTGAAGACTGTGTACTCAACAACTGGAGAGGGAAGTGGAATGATGGGCCTTGTTCAGATACTTTTCCCTCAGTTTGTGCATCTCGCACAACTTGTCCTTAGCAGCTGAGATGTTACGTGTTCACCTGTTTTGTTAACATGATAACAATAAAGACACAGATGTAAACTTGTATATGTGTGTGAACAGAAGTCCTTTTGTCTAACCTTTATTTTCATGAATGTTACATATTCACACTGGTCGCTCCAGGGGTTAATAACTTCATTTATCTGTTAGTTTTTCTTTCTTCTTGAAGCAGCCATTTTGTAAAGCTTGTAAAATTGCCTAAGTCACAAGACAATGCTACTCAAGCCATTATCTTTGTTATATATATATTGGCCATCAAGAAGAGATGATTTTGGCACAAAAAAATCCAAGACATGACTTACGTCATTAGTTTAATGCCCATCGTCACCATCATCTACATCCTCACTAACGTGGCCTACTATGCTGTGCTGGATGCTAGTGCTATACTCGCCAGTGATGCAGTGGCAGTGGTGAGTTAAGCAGCTGTGATGAAGCCCCTGAGAGGCACGAGAGAAAGATAGGTATCATTCATTTTCTGATATTTCTTTCCTTTGTTTATGACTAAAAAAAAGCTGAAAGCGAGTGTATGCCCGTACGGTATCATATTTCTAAGTTCATTCATTATCCTTTTTTCATCTGATACTTTTTCTTTAGTTATGTAAAAGAAAAAAAGGAAAGATTATTAAGCTTTTATTTCCTCTTTGAAAGCCAGTGAGAACAATTATTTTAGCCTTATATATATATTGTTTGTTGTAGTTCTCATTTGGCGACATAAGGCTAACGTGCACACCCACGCTATATTCTAAATGGGACTCAAAGCGTTCATGTTTACTTCCAGGTGAGTTTTCATTTCTTGATACATTTTTACTATGGTATGTAACATTACTGTCATATTAAAAAAATATAGATATTATTCTTTATTTTAGCTAAACATTTATTTTAATCCTATCAATTTAAAAAAGAGTAATTTAGCAAAATGATTAGGGCAAAATGTTTCCCACCGGTTTCACAGATAAAATAAATAAAGGAACTAAGAAAAAGCCCGTCCACTCATAAGCAGATGAGACAGAGAAATGTGTGTGTGTTCAGACATTTGCAGATCACACTCTGGGTGTGATGAGCTGGACCATCCCCATCGCTGTGGCTCTGTCCTGCTACGGAGGACTCAATGCCTCCATTATAGCTGCCTCCAGGTACTATGAGCACCACAATTCAATAATATCTTTCCCTCAGTGTTCTCCGTCTTCATTTCTGTTTCTTACGGCAGGTTGTTCTTCGTGGGCTCTCGTGAGGGTCACCTCCCAGACGCTCTTTCCATGATCCACATAGAGAGGTTCACCCCCATCCCCGCTCTCATCTTCAATGTACGAAAACAGATCCATTATTATTGGATTCTAGCAGAGGAAGAACAGGAAACTCCAATTTAGCCCACATCAATCACTAGGGATACTTTTAGCTTTTTAAGTTATCGCCTGGTTTGGCTGTGTTATACATATTGCATCATTTATGGCAAAAGTGTGAGATCTTGTCTTAAGAGTTTAAAGCCTTAAAGAGGCCCTAAAATGGAGTGGCATCTATGGCAGAATGGCAGATGGCAGATCTACCTGCGCTGGAAGGAGCCCGACAGACCCCGACCTCTCAAAGTAAGACCCTTTCTTTATTATCTCCTAAATAAGGATTTTAATATCATGTTAAAGATTGATTTTTTTTCTTCTAAATGCTTCATTTAATTATCTCAGAGAATTTTCATTTTTGTCCCCTCTTAAATATAAATAGATATTTTTTCTTCTAAATGTTTCATTTGAACATTTTTGGGAATATTCAATATTTGATCTATGAATGATTTTATAAGTTTAGGGAATATTCAAGATATTACCTCACATTTTGTATTTCTTTTTGGAGGGGGGTTTTACCACTTTAATTTCGTAGAATATCAAAGTTTGTTTCTTATAAATGTATAACTTTAATCTGCAGAATTCCGTTTTATCCAGAATATGACTCCCCTCAGGCTAAATGTTGTCTTTACTTCCAATGACCCTGTGACTCTGTCATGTCAGAGCCAATGAAGACTAACCATTCTTGTCTTGTGTTTCTCTCCTTAAAGCTGTCTCTGGTGTACCCGGTGATTTTCTGCATGTGTACTGTGTTCCTGGTGGCGGTCCCTCTCTACTGCGACACCATCAACTCCCTGATTGGCATTGGCATCGCCCTGTCAGGGGTCCCCGTCTACTTCCTGGGCATCTAACAACCAGAGTCCAAACGGCCCCCCATCGTCACCAAGCTGCTGCGTGAGTGCACTGCACATCCTGCACTCACCAGAGGCCTATACTACGAAGCTGGTTCAACCTAACCTGGATATGTTTGAGTTAGCCGGTTGGCCTAATCCAAAACATACGCGCTGTCGCTAAACTGTACTACGACGCTGGTTATCAAGTGGATCGCTCAAGCCAGCCGTGTCCTATCTAGTTAGGTGCGCGTTCACATGAAAGGGGTGGCATTTGGAGCATTCGACCAATCACAAACATGGAGAAGCGCACTGACAGCGCAGCGTCATACTTCCTGAATGAAAAGTGAACTTTAATATTAGACATATGAAGAAGTTAAACTTTAACATCCATGACTTAAACACTTTATCCAGGATAAAAGCCACATAGCTGCACCTGCAAGGTGACAGCTGGTAACAGAAAAAGTGTTTGAATGCGTACATTAACAGGTTTATGATATCACTGCCCCGTCTAAGACACAGTGGATCTGACTTTAATTACATTTGACTCGAGTGTTTCGTCAACTTAATGTGTTGCTTAAAATAATACTTCTGCATGCAGTATGTGACACTGTGAGTGTTGCACGGCCAGATACGGCTCAGCTGACTCAGATAAGGAAATATGATTATGACATTATGAAGTGATATGCCGCGGACTGTACTTAATGTTACTCTGATCCGGTTACTTATGTTGTGGCAGATATTTAAGTAAGCTTTCTTAACGCTAATGTTATAATAGTCAGATTGCTCTGAAGATGGGAGGTGATATTCTATTCATGTTCACGTTCACACAGTCGGTGATTTTTGCCGGCCGTCTTTCCTGCAACGGCAGTTTTTCTGTATTTCCTTTCTCCTGTAATATGACTTGATCGCTTTAAACTCCGCACACTGAGCTCTGATTGGTCAGCAGGCGGTGCTTTCACTGAGTTGAGCTATTAGCCTGCAACATAACCTGCTCCGGACCAGGTTAGCCGCTAAGCATAAGTTACCATGGAGATCTAGCCCGCTAAAAAGAGAACCAGCGTCGTAGGACTGGAAACCCAGAGTTTTCCCTGAAGTTAGCCGGCTAAGCGAAAATCCTGCTTCGTAGTACAGGCCTCATGCACTCTTCAGCTACCCCCCCCCCTCTCCCCCCTCTCATGCTGTCCTCTCTTCTCCCTGCAGGTTCCCTCACTCACTGCACTCAGCACATTGGCTACTGTGTGCTGACAGAGATGGACAAAAGTGAATAGCCCTGAAGCCAGTGCTGGAATTGGGCCGGTACTCACCGGTACGCAGTACCGGCACTTCTGGTTCTGACCCATGGAGTACCGGCACTTCTTGCTCAGTACCGGTATGCTGGCGGTACTCCGGTACTCATGCACCGTGCCAGTACTCAACACTCTCCCGCCGTTCTTATTATACATCCATATATATATATACAGCCGCCCGGTACTCAGTAGATGCGTCATGAGGTGCCGAACGGACATTCTCATCGCTCTAACCGCTGGAGTTTCACAGCGGCTGTCAGCTGTTTACTCCTGTCATTCAAACAGAACGTGCTGGAGAGGGGGCGGGGCTTATCTTCTCCATGTAAATACTGTGGTGGAAACGACTATGTCAAAATTAACCTATTTGACCGTGATTTAATAGTAATACACGTTTCAAAATAATAATAATAATAATAATGCCGAAGTAACAACATACTGAAAACTGTTAGTAAAACCATGTTTTAATGCTTTACAATTTACATACCTAGATGCACGTGTGTTGTGTTTATGCAGTGCAACTCCCACCCAGTGGGTGGCTATGTAGAGTGATAGAACAGAGCAGGCACGCCCCCGAGAGAAGGAAAGCAAGTCACGTCACAAATTAGCATTTCTAAAATGTTAGCGTGGATTAATAAAAGTGCAAAAAGACAGCGGTTGTCGCAGGAAGAAACTTCAAATACAGAGAACGCTGTGCCTGTGTTGGAAATTGTGTCTGATGGGGAGCTTTCTTTGGTTGATCCTCCTGCTCCAAGTTCTAGTGCATTAGCATTAGCACTAGCTCCGCCGCCTCCTCCAGAGCCTCTAAAGTTAGCTGCTGCTGGCGCAACTGCCACCACCAACACCGGGCAAAGCGATGCACCTGACTGCTGGACAACGGACCAGGTGCAATATTTTTGCAAGACCAATGCATGGCTCCTTCTTAAAGATAAGAAGCTAGGATGTCGGATATGCAGAGATGTCAAATCTTTGGGAATACACACTGGACAAGGACTGAAACTGTCAACTGAATGGGGTGAGTGTGCAGTGTCTCATTTCGGTGTTGACAAGGGCAAACAACAAGCTAGCCTGAGAAAAAAAATCAAAGAACATAAAGAATCACAAGCCCATGTAAAAGCTGCTGACATCCTTACATCTGCTTCACGTGAAACTATTCAACATCAAGTGCAGTCTATGCATAAATCTGAATTAGACACCACTATCAGAGTTTTTCGAACGGCATATAAAATTGGCAAACATAGCCGGCCATTCACAGACATGCCAATTGATTTGAATGTACAGAAACTGAATGGGCTGAACGTGGGCAGGGTTTTGCACTCCAATAAAACCTGTGGCGAAATCATCAACCACATAGCTCATGAGCTGAAGAAAAAAATGGCAAAAGACATTACAGAAAACCAAAGAAAACTCTGTGTTTTGGTCGATGAATCTACCACTATTAGTGGTAAAACGGTGCTTGTTGTGTGTCTACGCTCAGCATTAGCTGATGCTGAGCCCGAAACGTTTTTTTGGGAGCTGATTGAGTTGGATGGAACAACGGCTGATGACATCACAAAGGCGTTAATGGAGTGTCTTGGAAGAGATTTTAACGAGGACTTTTTAGGTCAGTGTTTCGTTTCTTTTGCATGTGATGGGGCTTCAGTCATGCTAGGGAAGAGAACAGGCGTTGCTACCCAGTTGTGTAGTAAATTCCCAAGCCTGTTTGTGTGGCACTATTCCAATCATCGTCTAGAGCTGGCAGTTGGGGATGTGGTCAAGGAGGTCTCAGGGCTCAATCATTTCCAGATCTTTTTTGACAAACTCTATTCCTTGTTCCATGCCTCCCCCAAAAATCAGAGGCAGTTAGCGCAGTGTGCGCAAGCAGTCGGACAGCGTCTCCTGGTGATAGGGCGTGTTTTGTCCATCCGCTGGGTGGCTTCAAGTGAAAGGAGCGTCAGAGCAGTCTGGGAAAACTACCGAGTGCTTCATGATCACTTCACAAATGCTGCAAACGACACGAGCAGGGATTCCAGAGACAGAGCAAAGTACAAGGGCCTGGATGATGTGCTCACATCTGCAACGTTTGTCAGCAATCTGGGACTGATGTACGATGCGCTCACAGAGCTCAGCGACCTCTCTCGGCAACTCCAAAAAAGAGAGATGACACTGCCTACAGCAGATAGGCTCTTAACTCGAGAAATACGAGTTTTTGAATCCATGGTCACCATGCCTGGCCCACACATGACTACAGTTCATACAGCTCTAGCTGAGAAGTCCTTCAAGGGTGTTGCCCTGCGTGAGAATGGCAGGCTTGTACAGATTCATGCAGGTCAGTTTTTCCGCAGTATGGTAGAGAATCTGAGACACAGAATGACTTCCACAACCTCCTCTCATGTCAGCACAAGAGAAATCCCATTACATGGCCGGGAGGCCCGGGACAATCAGCTAATCCAGGACATGAAAGTTATCCATCCTGGAAGTTGGCCTGAAGAGGAGTTAGACGTACAGTATGGGGACGTAGAGGTGCTACGTTTGTGCGAAGTGCTGAAAGTGGACAGAAGAGAGACTGTTCAGGGCTTTCGCGAATACAAGGAAACCAGGGCATCCCGTACACCTGCTGCCATGGAGCCTCTACTGAAAGCAGTCCGAACCATCGCTGTCTCCACTAGTGAGTGTGAGCGGGCATTCAGCTGCATGAACGATATCCTTACTGCAAAAAGGAATGCTCTCTCTGTCAGCCTGGTTTTCATTAAATGTAATGGACCATCACTAGGACAGTTCAATCCGGAACAGTATGTGAGGTCCTGGCTGGCAAAGGGAAGGAGAAGTGCTGATGAAAGAGCCTGTCCAGCTCCAGCCCCTGATACTGATGTCCCCAAGGCCTTCTGGAGCCTTTTCTAACAATGTGAAGTATATTGCAAAGCAGCTCACCCAGTGAGAAGACTTTTGGCATAATGTGCCGATTTGTACAGATCCTGGAGATAGAAGGACTTCAGACCAACCAGGGAGTTATCTGATCAGCTTGGTGTTCAATGTAACT